TTATAAATGGTAATACAGTTGTAAGAATTTGAGGAAAAAACGTAAATTACTATAAATAATGCAGAGACTACAGAGAATGAGAGAGAGGTAGAGATGTGAAAGAGATTTGTGTGATTCGTCAAAATAAGTAAGAATAAAAAATTGTTAAATTATAATTTCGAATAAATAAGTATGACACATTTACATCATCTGTACAAGTTTGATTTACAAAAACTATAACAATTACTACAAATAAAAAGAACTATACAGTCCATATCATACCCGCTAATGCCCTAACCTGCCCCCAGTCCCACAACCCCGACCGTGGACCTCCCTCCTCGGTCTCCTGCGGTAGACTCTCTGAATATCTGGAACTCCCTCCCCTGCATGTGGTCCTCCACTGACTGCCTGTGGAGCCTGTGAGTGTGACCCCCCCTCTCCTGCATGTGCTGCCCCTGATCATGTCTCTGCCTGAAGATCGGATACTGCTGTGAGCTGTGAAACTCCCTCATCTGGTGCAACTGTATCACGATCTGCAATCGGACCTCGACCTCTGCCTCTGCCCGCACCCTGACCTCGGCCGCGACGTCCGCCACGACCATAACCTCGGTCTCTCCCTCGCGCTCTGGGGGGGCTCAATATGGGCCTCATCCTCAACGCAGGAGATGTCAGTGAGAACTGCATCATGTGTACTCATGGGCGCGGTCGAAGTAGTCCCCAGAAAAGCAGGTGGTAACTGGGTGGGTGGGGTAACAACGTCATGCATGTATCGGGGCGGTGTCCAATCAAGGTCAGCATGCTGGGTAGGATGTACGTGTGGGAAATATGGAGAAATGTATGGGGTATAATGCGGTGGGGTGACTGAAGTCGAAAGACCTGCTGTGTTTGGCGCTGAAGTGGAAGGCACTGACGTGGACGGGACTGATGTGTCTGGAGCAGCTGCTACACTATGTACACCGTAGTGGCCAAAATGTAAACGATCTACCCGATGGGCATGCTGGATCCCCTCGTACAATAACTCTCGGATCTCTGCAAGGGCCTGCATCGCATCCTGTCCATCACGTCTGAAAAGGGTGTCCTCAGCCAAGTGATATGATCTCCCAGCTCGAACCACCTGAACAAAAAATCAGACATATTAGGCTATAGTTGACTGAAAGTAAATCAATTATGATATTAACAATTATCTGACACATACTATGATACTCACCAATGCCTCGAGAGAAGGCCCAACTCCCTGATATCCGGACTTAGACAAGTGGCTCGGATTACCGACTAGTAGGTGTCTATGTCGCCGATACCACAACATGTAAGGGTTGGGAGAGGGGAGGACGCCATCGCTCCAGTCAGCCTGTACAATACTGTCATGACAGGCATCCCACGGCTGTATGTATCGCATATGATACACACTCCAGTCAGTGCCGGCGCATCCACGTCTATCAGTCGCATGCAACCGCCACTCAGTGTCGCACCGATCCGGCACGGACTGGACCCGACCAAACTGTCGAAGGGCACGATCAGGGAGATGCCACTCAACCACGTCAAAACAAATGAGTGGCACTCTCGCCATCCATATCTCCTCACCTAGTCAGAAATAGTCTGGGAGCGTACCGAGGACCCCAGCATAAGGCTACCAGATAAACTATAATAATGACAAGTCTATTAAAAATCACTCGTGAACAAATACACTCCATATGACAATTAAAATTTAGGTATTTAAATTTCATACCTCGTCCTCTATCATCCGGTCAAGCTGGTCTCTATACACAACGACTACGTGGGTCGATACGACCTCGTGGCCCATGTCAACCCTCCACCGGCTACCTCGAGGTCCAGGTAGCAACTGCATGTCTCCCTGGCCGATGGGAACCTCACCAGGAGTAACCAGTTGCCGCCTAGACGGGGCAATGCGAATCAATCTCTCCCACGCCCAAATCTGCAATAGTTTGAATGCAATTACAATACTGATATATGCCATACAATATGAATTGACATGTAATAAAATTCTTACAAAACTGTAGCAAGACAAGGGGTCCTCCGATCTCCTTCGCACCCACCTGAGCTGCTCGACATAGCATCCTGTACAAGCATGCCAAAGCCACGGCGCCCCAGCTGTACTGGCCGATCACGTCAATGTCTCTAAACAGTGGCAAGTACATCAGCTTGAGCAGGTTCTGTGACTTATCAAAGAGAAGTACCCCTCCAATAAGCCACAAAATATATGCTCGGGCATACTGCTGTACTAACTCATCTGGAGCATGATCTGGAAGATGGCCCTGAAACTGCTCGGACAGCCACCTCACCCTCACTCTACCTGCCTGTAAGTCTGCAGGTGTAGGTGCTACTCCCAATAGCTCAGCACATAGGGCTATCCACTGGTCCCTCGTCAATGGTGGGTCAGGTCCAGTAACTGCTCGCCCATCAATCCGTAGACCATATAAGACAGATACGTCCTGCAATGTGACGGTGGCCTGCCCGGTAGGGAAATGAAATGTATGAGTCTCAGTGCGCCACCTCTCAACGAGAGCAGTGATAAGTGGGTGGTCCAGTCTAATATGGCCTATACGATAGACACCATAGAATCCTGCGCGTAGTAGACACTGCAAGACTCTATGGTCCAATGGACGCTCCCACAGGCCGGAATCTCGCCGCCGGCATTTCACCACGGTGTGTGCCTCGTCCTGCATAACAGAATGAGTAGTTTAAATTATAGCATTATCACGTAATATAAAACAAAATGCAGGGTATTTTCATTGTAAGCGTAAAGTCCAACAAACGTTATTACATACCGGATCCTCCCATATACTGTCAGCCCGATGTGGATGACTAAAAAGTGGGACCTCATCAGGTAGATATGCCATGAAGCCTGTACAGTTGAAAAACAAATACATTTAAAAAAACTGTATCGGTGAGCATGTAATTTAACTATAACAATTAAACTCAAATTATTCCATACATGACGACTTGAAAAACAAATGTGGTCGATTATTTTAAAATTATTAATTTGTGTGCCACTAACATGGAAGCAATTCACTAAAATCTAAATTTATCAATTTATGTGCCATTAAATATGATGAGCAATTCAACAGAACCTATCGTTATCTATGCTATAACTAATATAGAAATCTTTTACAAAATCATTTTAGGGTCTCAATTACATAAGCTTAATAATGACCAGTAGCATGTGGATAGTTTTCATACATAAATATTTGCGAAAAAATTGAATGAGAATTTTTTTTTCAATAAGAGGTTGCTAATTACATTTATGGCATATTTGACAAAACTTCATTATTGATTTGTGTGATGGTAAAAGTTTCAATAAAGTATAAAATCTGTAAATTACGTAGATCTGATTCATAAATTGTAAATGTAAAAAATGCTTGCAGCAGTCGAAATATTAAAATCTTAAAATGGTAGAAGAACTTTGTGATTTTCACTAAAATTTTGTAATAGACATTTTCAATCAAGTAGAGAATAAAAAACATAGGCCTATGTGGTATAGTTAAATGTTTTTGCATACATATTTAGTTTAATTTATTTGTTTAGTATGTTAGTTGTAAATTTTGTCAAGAAAATCAAACAATTACAATATATAAAAAATTAAAAAATAGAAATGATCTATTACAAATAAAAAATGATCTATTTAAATGTACGACCCCGTTTACAAATAATGAATTACAAAATAAAGAATTAAATGATCTATTACAAATAAAGAATTAAAAAATGATCTATTACAATATGTAAGTATTACATAGTCTTCATTGACTAAGTCGCGCCGAACATGTTCGCCTGTCATGACCTGTCTTCTGGTACTCACTGCAACGAGCGGTCAAACGCCTATCTGATATATCTATCTCATTCGAAATACGAGACATAGATGTACGACCCCGTTTTACTTCTCGCAGACAAAGTACATTAGGCATTAAGGTCCACTGCGGATCATCCCAATAATATTGATGCGGTATTGGATTGAATTTAGTTTCCCAAACCCTCATGTATACAGAAAGCCTATATACTAGATCAACGTACTCGAATGAATTGTCACCGCATTCAGACATTACAACGAGCATATGGGAACATGGATAGTGTCTTATCTCATATTTCCCACAACTGCACGTGGGTTGATTCATCCGCACAATTTGTGTATTGTGACCTTGTCCATGGAGAAAAGATGTTTACACCTCAAATAAGCGGCGTGGCCTATCAAAAAATTGTAATATAAACTAATCAAGTTCATGTTTTTAGGTGTACTTAACTTCACAACATAATAACAACAATTTAGTTTATATTACAAACTAACCTGTCATACGATATCAACTTGAAAGTATTTGCCCTTGCGATGCCATCCTCAATAATTTTTTGCATCTCTCTAGGGTATTGGAACTCATTTCGTACATCTATTTCAGCTTGGGCTCCCATCTCGTCAAAATATTTTACAAGCCGCCGAAATGTAAATTCAACCATAGCTAAGATAGGTAAGTTCCTTGCACCTTTCAAGACACTATTGAAGCACTCTGCATCATTGCCAGTCAATATCCCCTACCGATATCCACCGTCATACGAAAGGGCCCACTCCACAGGATTCATCTTGTGAACCCAATTGATGGCATCTTGGTCAATAGCCTGTATCTGTTGTAAGTAACCATTACACTTTCGCCGTTGATGAGCACTCCCTGCTTTCCATAGAAGTTGTTTCAGCTCCTTATTTTTTAACCTAGTGTTAAAGTTACTACAAACATGTCGAAGGCAGTGCTGATGATATCCAACAAATTGGAGCGAGGGATTCAGCCAATGCCACCTCACAGCAGCTAAAATACTCTCAGCTCGATCAGATATCAAAGTCACTCACTGTCGGTCCATGACAATATGTTCCTTGATATTTGAAATGAAGAACGACCAAAACTCCAAACTCTCGCTGTCGACAACAGCGAATGCAAGCGGTAATACTTTGCCATTGGCAGTGACAATCGTTGCTACAAGCAACACACTAGTGTATTTCCCGTATAAGAATGTACCATCTATGGTTATAACAGGCCTACAAGATCTGAATCCATCGATGACGAGTTTGAAAGACCATAAAACAAAGTGGAAGACGGGCATAATGGTTGTACCTCCGGTATATTTATGCTTTCATTGCACGATGGTGCCAGGATTAGATGTTTGTAATGCATGCATGAATTTAGGCAACATCCTATATGATTCATCCCAATCCCCGAATACCATTCTAATTGCCTTTGCCCTTGCAAGCCACGCTTTCTTGTATGATATACTATAGTTCATGGTCTTTTTGATATCTTCGATGGCATTCTTAATTGGCATATCAGGTTCATTCTGCATACGACAATATGTATCATCATGAAATATTTTGGTGTGAACACTATAAACAAACAAATATGTATATATATATGTAAACATTTATTTTGTATACTCACCGCAACTTGTCCCAAAAGATGAGAAGCAATGTAACTGGAGCTAATATTAGTGTGGTCCCTGTTCATTCATGGGTATAAACAATGGTGAGGACCCCTATACTGCTTTATTTCAAAAAGACCATGTATCCTACTAAGAGATGCACGCAACCACCATCTGCAATCGTGCTTGCAAGCACACACCCAAACGTCTCGCTTGGAGGTTACGACTTTATACTCTCGATTATTTGTTGCATAGTACAATTTCACAGCATATACGAGTTGCTTCTTATCAACGAAAACCATCCCTTTATCCAACTCTAGATTTTCAGCATTCCAGATTCGGTTACGGGAAACGACATCGCGGTTACTAATGTCAAAATCACCATCCATGTGAATGTTTTCATAGAAAGGGATTTCAGGTCTAGGTGGAATGGGGGCATTCTGAATATCAATGGGTGCGTCGGCATCATCTTCTTCATCATCATCATCTAATCCGCCCAATAAATTTTCTTCATCACACATTTCATTTTCATCATTGTCTAGGACGACATCAGGACCGTACATGTCACTGTCAGCAAACTGCACAGAATTAACTATTTCAGTCATATTACCAGCAACTTCAACTGGAATGGTATGATGGCTGTAGGTGGACACATCTTCGGTGTTATTGTGAAATTCAGTCTCATATCCACCACATAAACTTGATTCTCCACCATGGCCATGAAATATCTGTTGTGTGTAGCCCGCTGCATAACATTCATTTGATTCATACATACGAGACTGAAACGCTGTCGTGTCAATCCCATGTGTCAGCAATGTAGTGAACGGACGAGAATCCATCTGTGTCATATTCGGGAGATTGTGTACAACCTCTTTATCAATGTACACTTCCAAACAATTTGGTGGTTGGAAACTTCCACCGATACTTAATACGGCGTTCAACGCGTCATCGTCATTGATCGGTAATATTTTGTATTTGCTGGTTGCTTGCCACTGGCAATAAGGATATCTACATTTGAAGATCAATCGGACTGTTTCCCTGTAACTTGCCACCGTTGACATAAACATCTCCTCCAAATTGCTAAGTGTGGTGCCAAGTTGCACCCCATATATCACTTTCGGCTCAGCATCATATGACACACCTTCATCGAGATCCCGAATTATGTTTCCCCCCCAGTAGAAAATAATTGGAACAGTTGCCATATACTTGCTTCATTGAAATAATAAACATTAAAATATCAACAATATACATATAACGAATTCTACTTCTAAAATAATTATATGAACTTTAAATCATTTAATTCGAATTACTTGTGAGGCAATAACTTTTTCTAAGTAATCAGTAATTGTAATCCAACAATCATTATTCAATTTTTAATTATAATATGAGTTAAAATAAACCTTATGTTTTGGATTTTTCAGCTTTTTAAGAAAAAAAGCTTACAACACATAAAGAATGTTGGTTTGTTTGGACATAACTGTCTATAGGACTCCTGTGTTCTGCTTTTTCCATTATTTATTACGATTAACATAATGCTCTTCTGCACGGTAAATGTAAATTTTTCTTTTTCCATGTTTCTTCTTCTTCGTTTTGATAACATTTCAGTGTTGATTTGGTTTTTACAAGTACATTTCCAAGCAAGTTTTTTGTGTTAACAACCCATCCCTAAAATGAAATTTATAAAATATAAATTTCATTCACAACACTTAACAAAATTTCTAGTGTCACCACTAATTTTGAATGTCATGGTCAGTGAAGGAGCCAAGGAATTAAATCAAATGGAACACTTATTAATTATAACATTGAAAATTTTTATAAAAATATTTCACATAAATTTTTACGATTTATTTCAAGAAAAATATATATATATATATATATTATTTGTAACTAGTATATCATAGATAATATAGAAAAAAAAATGTCATAGATATAAGTAGTTTATTGTTTGTTGTCATTGCTCTCTTGTCTTAATTCAAAACACTCATTCAGACTGATTCCAAAAATACCAGAATTCAGTATAATTTTAAAAACACTTATTTTGTTTTGTTTTCATAAATCTTGATCTATTTTTTAGTATTTTGATAAAGTAGACAGATATATCACACATTTAAAAAATCACCACCCAATCAAAATATTTTTCTTATTCAGTGAGATTGGACAAAATTGGACAAGTCATACAAACATCTTAAATCATAGTATAAGTTTTGTATGAAATTGTTATTTTTTTGATTGAGTTAAAAGAACTCGATTGATTTGGACAATATAAAATAGAGGTTTCAAACATTGTTCTTCATTTTTTAAAACTACTGATCCAATTCTTCAGATTTATGGACAATTAAAGATAAGTTAATTTGATTTGCTCAAACTTGTGCCATTAGGGACCGTAATGACAAAGTTATTTCGTATGTGAAATAGTAACCATCGTCCACTTTTTAGAGGTCATAGAGGTTTTGTTATGAAATTCAAAGAAAAAGCTCATTTTGACTCGTTCAATACCCATTGAAAAAACTTTTTCTCAATTTGTTACATTTTTTGACGAAATTTTAATTTCTACTATAATGGCATCACCAGAAACTCATAATGGCCATACCGCGTACGGAATGTCGTTTTCGGAATATCCTCTTCCCTGACCCTCAACTGGTGGTAACCCGATCTCAAGTCTATCTTAGAGAAACAACGGGAACCCTTCAAATGGTCAAACAAATCATCTATACGAGGCATAGGGTACTTATTCTTAACCGTAGCCCGATTCAACTTCCGGTAGTCTATACACAACCTCAAGGCACCATCTTTCTTTTTAGCAAAGAGGGCCGGTGCTCCCCACGGTGAAACACTAGGGCGAACAAAACCCTTATCTAACAGCTCCTGAAGCTGAACTTTCAACTCAACCAACTCCGCTGGAGCAAAACGGTAAGGTGCCATAGAAATCGGCGTCGTGCCGGGCACTAAATCAATAGAGAACTCTATCTCTCGGTGAGGTGGCAAACTAACAAGATCTTCGGGAAAGACATCTAAATACTCAC